AATGTGCAAATAGAAACTCAGACAAATAATTATGATGAAACCATTTCATGAGTTAAATACATTGTATTTAAAATTACTAGTAACTATAGCAAACTTTGCAAGTAATACCGGAAATATAAGATATTGGTACTATAATCTTAGTCACTACTTAAAACAACGATTGTAGAATTGATATTCATTAAAATCATTAAAATAGGTTAGTCAAGGCAAAAAATGTCGAGATCGCGAGACCAAACGATCGCTTCCGACCACTCGGAGTATGTACATTTTATTATTTGGTTGTCCATTTTAATGCTTTCAGACAGTAATATTCCTAGCAAACGGCCCATTTATAATTGTATTATAACTGTTATCTAATATGTATTAGTATTCGGAGCGAATATCGGATTGTTTTAATGGATAATATGAACAAGTCACCACTTTAAAGCCACAATGTGGTGATTTGCCCACCGCATAAGTTACTAGTGTTGCAAACTAGTAATCTATATGCACGATTAATACAATAAAATACAATACAATTTCGTGTATCTTTCAAAATGCCTGTGCTCCAAATTTTATCGCTCTTTTCAAATTAGTGTGACCTCTGCCGATCATCTCTCACTCTAAAAATCAAGCAAAATTTCCTAATTTTGGTGCATTTTTTGCGAATAAATCTAAATTTCTTGCAACAATTAAAAATTCCCAAGATTCCTCTTCAATTTTCGCTTTTTCAATGCTTTATCAAGTATTATACAAGAGCTGGTTGTTTGTGCAGCTAAATAATATGGAAAATTTCATGCCTTTTATTTCTTAATTTTTTTTAAACTTTGAATGAAGAAATCTTGACAACCACCAAGTCAAATTTGATGACTTTTCTTATTTAAATTCTACAAACCAGTAGAATTCAAATAAAGAAAAGTTTATTAAATTTGGCTTGGTAGCTATTGAAATATTTTCTTTCAAAGTTTTAAAAAATTCTCAAATAAAAGTTGCATCGAAATTTTCTCAAACTTTCTCAAACTTTAACTGAAGATATCTTGACAACCACCAAGTCAAATTCAATGAAGTTTTTTTTTTTTTTTGAAGTCTATGAATCCGTAGGATTCAAAAAAAAAAAAAGAAAAACAGTTATCAAATTTGGCTTTCAAAGTTTTAAAAATTCATGTCTATCAAAAGTGATAAATTTTCTCAATTTTGAATAAAGATACCTTATCAAATATTAAACCAAATTCAATAACCATTTTTTTTTATTTGAATTCTACAAACATGTAGAATTCAAAAAAAAAAAACAACGAATTTGGCTTGGCGTTGTTAAGATACCTTCGCTCAAAGGTTTTAAAAATTCAACATCTATCAAATAAAATTTTCTCAAACTTAGAGCAAAGATATCTTGACAACCACTAAGTCAGATTCGATGAATTTTTTTATTTGAATTTTACAGATCCGTAGAATTCAAATAAAAAAAGTGACTGAATTTGGCTTCGTATTTGTAAAAAATCTTTGCTCAAAAACTCAAACCGTCTATCAAAACAGAAGCTGTGTCATAATTTCTCATAAATTGAGTGGTTATTTATAAAATACTAAATTAAATTTAATTATTTTTTATTTAAATTCTATATATATCTCCATAAAATTCAAATAAAAAAAAATTCATGAAATTTGGCTGTTTTAAAAAACACAAGTCTCTCAAATAAAAATTTTTTTCAAACTTTGAACGAATATATTTCGACAATTATCAATCAAATTTTGATTAATTTTTTTTTTTTATTTGAATTCTACCAATATAGAATTCAAATAAAAAAGAAAAATTTATCAAAATTGAGTTGATGGTTGTCAAGATATATTCGCACAAAGTTCAAGAAAAATTCCATTAACCTTTTTTTAACTTTTAGCGAAGGTTTCTTGACAACAACCAGGTCAAATTTAATAAACTTTTTTTATTTGAATTCAACAAATCAGTAGAATTTAAATAAAAAAATTTGTTAAATTTTGCCAGGTGGTTGTCGAGATATCTTCACTCAAAGTTTAAAAAAGTTTGAGATATGAATATCAAATTGCCGATTTTCAGATTTCCAGATTTTCAGTGATGTGTGATCAGGGACGATGATTTTCTGCGGTGACTAAGACCAAATTCTGCGTGTGGTTATTGCGCTTTGCAAAAAGATGTGACCTCTGCAGATCACAAAGCCGCGTGAAAATCGGAGATTCTGCAGATTTTAAGAATCTTATCGATTTCAAATAAATATAAATATAACTGACCGAAAATATGAATTATTGCGCTTTGCAAAAAGATGTGGCCTCTGCGGATCACAATTCGCGTGAAAATCGGAGATTCTGTAGATTTTAAGAATCTTATCGATTTCAAATAAATATAAATATAACTGATCGAAAATATGAATTAATAGACAATCTTGAATCTCGGAAATTTTCCCCTTTCATCATCACAAAAATCATGGGGTCATATCTTTTTGCAAAGCGCTATAAATAAAATTCTGTGATGTGATGTGCTGTTTTGTTAGTGCATTCTGTGTAATTCTGTGATAAAAATATCGATTTCTGCGTAATTCTGTGTTAGTTTAGTGCCGATTCTGTGATATCATGTGCTAAAAAAATATTGAGTAAATATATTTTATTTATTTAAAACCCTCCAAAAATTAATTTCCATTAAAATATAACATGTTTAATTGTTTTAAAGAATCAAGTGAAAGATTTTGGCGGTCACTATTTAAAAGATTATTATACATAGAAAAGCTGCATTCTACACTGCAGCTAGAAACTGGAAGCCATATGTAATTTTGTGCAATATTTGATAAAACCAGTAAAGTAGTTTGCATTCCCACCCAATAATTATGAAGATCGATTTCTTCTTCAAAGACTTCATTTACAGATCCACAATAAATTGTCCATTCCTGTAAAAGCTCATGTGATGGATTATTAAGCTCAGTAATTACTGAATATTGGCGAAGATCTCTATGAGAAATATCACTTATTTGATTTCCTATTTTAATATAAAAAGGGTTAAAAACATGACAAGCATGAAATAAAGGATGAGCAGGGTGTTGTGGAATATGCACTGCATATTTATTATATGCAGTGACAAATGCTGATCAGAAAATATTACAAAATTCTTCTATATCAAATTGAAACTGTGTTATAAGGTCATTTATTTCTGATCCAAAATTCAAAGCTATAATATTTCCTTTAATAAATGATGAAAGTTGTTCAAGCTGTCCTTCAACATATGGAAATATTGCCTTATTTTGCTACTGAAAAAAATCTAAATCATGAACAAATTCCTGTACAAAATATATTATAAAATGAATATAAATTATAACTATGCCTTTTTTTTGCTGATTTTGTAAAATTTCATTAATTTTAGTAATTGATTCATGACTTGTATCCTTTTTATGTTCTTTAGAAAAAAAAGAAGTCTAATAAACAATATAATCCTTAGTATAAAATACCATTCTAAACCATGAATTCGAACATGTTTTATTTGACAATAGAATTTTACACGGATTTGCAATTCCATGCATTCGAAGATGGTTTAGGTAACGACCTTTACATGCAGGTGAATTGATGAATGTTTCTTTAACTTTTGCTAAAAGAGTTTTTAATATATCAAATTCTGGATATGTTTGCCAGGTATCACTAATATGTATATATAATAGTATATAATTATTTTTATTATTAAATTAAAATTAAAATTATTTAATATTTATATACATATACCCGATACGATTAAGAATATGTGCACAACAAGGTGTATGAATTAACTGTGACATAATAGGTTTTAATACTTCTCTATAACACTTTTTCATATAAGCCACGGAATCAGTAACAAACAATTTTGGTAAAGTGTAAGAAATATTATATTTAACTAATTGGGTTAATACAACACCACCAATTATTGAATTATTAACTATATCTAAAAAATTAACTAAAATTAATTTTGTATCCTGGCGAAAATTAAAAAAGGTGTTTACAACACTACGCGAATAATTATCTGTAGTTTCATCAATTATTAGAGCTACAGATTTTTGATTAAAAAGATCTTGAAAAAAAGAAATGTGAGTATTAAAGACATTTGGTAAATAAATTTCACGAAGTGTAGAAGCTCGAGGAATTGTGCCACCTTCTTTAAGATATTTTTAAAAAAAAGAAGTAAACTATTTACTTTTTCAAGAGGAATATTTACAAATAAAAAGGCTTTAATTAAATCTTCAATTACTTCTTTTTTTGATTCAAATGCTGTTGTAGTAAGAAGTGTAACTTGCTTTTTAGATTTTTCATTATTTTCATATTTTTGCTTATTTTTAATATGCCCCTTTGAATTACAATATTCATCGATAGTAGATTTAACTTTCCACTCAATAGAAAATCACAATAATTCAAAACATAATTCCTTTGTCTTCTCTAAAAACATTAGAATGTTCCTTCATTCAGGTATCAATAGAGACTTTTTTATTTCTGATGCTATTATAAAAAAAAACACACACACATACTAAGAAAATATAATAGTTTATTGAAGAGAAATTTTAATTTTTATTTATAAAAAATCTTGCTTTGTATAAGATGCTATCTCATTATTTATTTATACCAATACCTTGGAAAAAAATTTTTTTTCAATCTGATTGTACATATGTATATGCATATCAATACTTTGAAAAAAATTTTTTTTTCTAATTTTAATCTGATTGTACATATGTACATGCATATTTACACCAGTACCTTGGGAAATTTTTATTTTCTAACCTGTATTTTATTGCTATTAATATAAAAAATCACAATTCTGTGAAAAATTGCTTATCGTATACTAGAAATGTCCCCCCTGTTAATGTATGTAATTTTTTAGCTATATGATCATTAACCTGTATAAAGAGATTTTATATATAATTTTACACAGTTTGCACCAGTTCACCTTCTTATTCATGATATTTTGCAATTAAAACTATGATGATTAACTAAGAAAAATCATAGATATAGGTATATTCTGGTGGTAGTTTTAATATTAAGTCTGCATGTGCAAAAACCTTGAAATGATCTTCCTTCAAAGTCCAAGTATCAGTCAACTTCTAAACCAATACGTTAGAGATTTCATATTTAAAGCTAAAAATGGTCCCCAATCAAATGTATTTTTAACTACTGTATATAATGTCAACCTGCATAAAATTTTCACAGCCTTTCACGTAACGAAACTTGGTGGTCAACTAAGAAAAGATACTGCTATAAGTATCGGTATAGTTTAAATATAAGGTCTGCAATAGCAAAAAATCTTTTTTTTTTAAACCAAAGTTTACAAGCCAATCTTATTAAACTAATGTATTGAGGTTTTAGATTTTGAATCCACTAATTTCATTAACGTTAATTACTTTTTTAAAAAACCCTTTGTTGAATTTGGATAAATTTACTCAATTTTTCAAAGTAAAATAATCCATCTACAAACATGTAATCAAACATTTACTGATATTGATATAATAAATTTATCGTTATTGTTTAACATACTATTAAGAAAACCTTTTCAATATAATATTATATATATTGAATTTTATTATATAAAGCTTCATATTATTACCAAATTTTATCAGTTTAATAAGCATGTTTAGTTTAATAAGATGACTTGTACGATTCAACTATTTGTATTATAAATCAATATTAATCATTAATTTAATTTAAAGATATTATCAAAGCACAATAAATTCAAGAAATAACGATAACAATTATCGGCTATGAATTCCTGTAAAACAAGTGATGTCGAATAGAATGATCCTGATAATACATATGTCTGTCTAGATAGTGATTTCAGTTTGGCAACTAATAATGTTAGTGAGACATCTTTAGTATCTAATATCAATGATGATAATAGTTATAAGTTCCTTTTTAATTATAAAGCATTTCAAAAAACTCGTGAAAGTATACATAATATTGATGATGATGTTACTACAAATGACATAAAGGATGATTCATCATTTATAAGTTCAGAAAGAAATAGCAACGATTTTAATGCACAAGAAGAGGATTATGAAATTGAAGATATTTCATATAAGAAATTAGTTCCATGCATTGTTTTAGATATTTATGATGGAGAAATTCAACGTTGTTCTAATTATGAAAAACCTGTAAATCGACTTCGGCCTCTTCATCAGCTTGTTGGAACTTGGGAAATAGACGAATCAGTTGTTGATAAAAATAATCCTAAAAGTATGGTGCATACTTTTGGCATATGTTTAGCACATTTTTCATTTGATCAAAATCGATTACACATGGCAGCAGCAAAACAAAAATAGTCAATTGAAAGTAGTTATATTCAATTATGAAGATGTTTATTTTGCAATAAAGATTATTATTTTTTTAGTCAAGGTATAACTTGTCAAGAACATTGTGTAAATATCAATGATTATGATATACAATTTTCCTGTATTAGACGTAAAATATGTTTAGCATTTGTAAATAATAATCAATTAGTTGAGCAATCAACAACTTTAATAACTAAGAAACCAACTGCTAAGATATTAGTAAGATTCATTTGTTCTAAATGCTTTCAAAGCGAAAGTGGTCATCTGTTTGAGAGAAAAGGAACTGGTGTTAAAAGCTATACTTGCTATGACCAGCACGTTGATGAAAATAAAAATGCACTTATTTTACTTGGACGATAGTTAACTGCTATTGCAGAATCTAATGATGAAGAATTAAAGCAAGAAACTTTGAATAAAATGACCATAGTTCTTAGTAAAGCATATCACCCAACAACTAAAAATAATAAACAAAATATTACAAATCAACTAACACTAATGCCTAGCCTATTGTTGATAAAAACAATTATGTGACTTAGAAAGGTTAAAATCAATAGGTTGAAAGATGACTATCAATTAGAAAAATTATTAATTTTAGAGGATCAAAGCAATAAACTTGGTGAGGCGTTTGGGTATGCTATATGGAATATACGATCAAATATAATTCAAAATAAAACAGTACTCGAGTTTCCTGAATCGTTTGACCAGTATCGTAATGGATTTCCAAATTTTTTTAGAAATTTTTTTAATAGCTTTATAACCTTCATACAAAAAAAAAATATCAAATTTGTTTGAAGAAGCAAAAATAGCGAAAAGGTAAAATTGAAGAATTTGATAGTATACGACCCTTTAAAATTTTGATTTTTTTTATGTTTACAATTCTTACTATGGCTTTTCCTAGTATTAATATTTGGCTTATATATACAATGAGTTTATTATGTAGAAAGCCCAACCTTTTATCCTCCTTATATCAAATTTTATGTACAGCAAACGTTGTATCACATTCACAGCATCATGAAAGACATCTTGAGAAAAGCCGATAAATATATTCAATTCCAACAACCTGATTACTTGAAGAACCCAATATTTGGAGCATATGTATTTTAGACAATATTAATTTTATGAGGCAATCATTTAGTTTTGGAAATATCTACGATGCTACTCAAATTACTGCACATGCATATCTACAAATAGTTTTTTAGGTTGAGTTGCCGATTCCTCTAGAGAAAATTTTTGCTAAAGCAAAAGCTTCACCGAAAGACTATTTATTTGAAATTGGTACTTCAACATTTACAAATCAAATGAATCTGAAATTTGAAAATACATTTCATAGTTTATTAACATGTGGTGAAAAAGAACTTGACGTTGATAAAGTATTTGAAGAATTAATCAAATATATAGCGATAAAACCAGGTTGTCAAGTACCAGCACCAAATGTAGTCATTTTAGAGCCAGGGAATAATCCATGTTCAGATGAAGCAATATATAAGGCTTGTGAGATGTTTTTTGATGATATTGGAAAGAAAACTAATAGGCATGGCAAAATTGATATAGTTGCAGATAAAGCAATTTTTCGACGCTTAATTTCATATCATGAAAAACATCCAGATACTAATATTTTATTAGGTGCTTGGCACATGAATAAAGAAATGTGTATAACTTTAATTACTGTTTTTACTAGTTATGGAATTTTTGATTTGGCAGCACTATACATGGGTGCCTAAATTATTTTTAAAAAATTGTATTTTCGGCAAACATTTTGGTATTGCTAAATTTTTTATATGAAACCCTACAAAATAACTATATTATATAATGTATTTTGATGAAAGGTGTTCAAAAAATTTTGGCAATAATTTCAGCAGATATGAAAATTAATTTTGGCACTATATAAGAATAATTTCGGCTGCCTAAATGCTGTAATTACTTTTTTATTAAGATGGGCAATTTAGGTACCCATGTATAGACGGCGCATCTTGGTGTTCGATTTTTAGACAAGTTGGAAAAGGCAGTAGATTATGCAGCAACCTGCCGAGTATTAGAGCTTATTTGGATTGCAGTAAGTAAAGTTGCTCAAGATACTGGTCAAACCTTTGCACAAATTCAAGAAGGTAATAATCAAATAATGAAAGTTTGGCTTCTTTATTTTGAACGGTGTGGTTATTGGATCGGGCACAAGATTGAAATTTGACATGGTAACTATCAAATGCAATTTCAGAATTTAGCAGCATTTGTGCCACTCTTTGCTACTATAGAAAAAAGCAATTATATGTAATCTGTAACTCATTTTATAAGCTACTTATCAAAAGATTTGGAATTATGTTCATTACTTTATTATATTCTCTCAGTAAACTTAACAAGAATAGGGCATTTTTTCGCCTTCGATGAGGCACTTAAATATTTTGGTGTTAAGTTTGTTAAAGAAAATATTGGGTCTTATTTAGGTAGTGAAGATGAGTTAAAATTACTGATAAGTTCAATTCAAACAGAAAGAGAACGTCTAGATCTCTTATTACATGGTTATGTTGGCGATGATATAATAATTCCAAAAGATCGCAAAATAATATCATGTTATATTATTATAAATAGCTTAAAATCTTCGTTAATTCAGGTATTTACCCAACAAAATTTTACTGAATTATTTAAAAATGCAACTGAGTATATAGCAGAAGGATTTAACAACCTTTTTACTTGTTATGACCTTGGTATTGAAAGATTAAAAAATATTCATTCTCAAGAAATTACAAAAGAAATTCCCTATACTACTAAAGGACGAAGAAAAAAAAATATATGAACTAATATGATTAGTCAACAGATTAAGACAGAAAAGCATTGCAAAGAGATTGAAAAACTAACCCGATCACTTCAAAAAAAGTATATTAAAATTTTAATTTAAATAATATTTAATTTTTTTTTATTTTTTTTTAATTTTTAATAATATTAAATATTAGAGAACGTCAAGCAGAACTACTCAACAACTTTACTAATGAAAAAGTAGAAAACGTGGCTAAAAGAAAACGACGACATCTGACAAAATCAGAACAAGAAATTTTTGCAAAATTAATTGAACTCAATGAATTATCAGCAGAAGAGATATCAAGGGTATTTGTAGAAATTTGTACTTTACCAGATACGAAGCCTGAAGATTGGGACATAAAAAGGATTCGAAGTATTTGGGGTTGAAAAAAATCTGCAAAAAAAAAAAAAAGCAGAATCTCAATTTAAGCAAAAGCGTGATTAGTTAAAATTTCAAAAATAATAAATATAAAATTTCCTTAATTTCAGCAAAGGATCTTGTGAAATTTCCATTTTTTTAGCTAGAAGACAATACCCTGTAATAAAGAAATTGTTATTCTAACGAAGTCATTAAATGTTAACTAAATGTTACTTTGAAACATAATTAATAAAGTTTATATATAATTTATTGAAGTTTCGATTTAATTAAAAAAAATAATTAAAGGGTAATCGATCGATATATTTTGTGGTACTGATCACTATTTAATTTGTTATCGTAGGACATGTCCAGTGATCGTTATAAATCCAAATTCTGCGATATTCTGCTGTGATTAAGACCAATTTCTGTGGTTAGCTGCGTTTAAGAAAAATTCTGCGGTGTTCTGTGAAACACAGCAAATCATCGTCCCTGTGTGTGATTTACAAAATTCGATGGACACAATAATTTGAAAAGAGCGATAAATCAAAATTAGGTCCGTGCCTTAATTTTTTTGTGCAGGCATGTCGGGTTTGCGGAACCCTACTCGTGACCCAGTGATCAGAATCGCATTATTTACTACCATCGAGACGAATCGAATGATGGTAAAATTATGCGATTCTGATCACTGGGTCATGAGATATCGCAAATGCGCCACAATTGATAATTCCTTATACTCAAGTAAAAGTTGCGCATAAAGAATAATGTAGTAACTATTGGTAAATATCACAAGAAACATTTTTAATTAGGCAGCAGAAGATGCTTTCCGAATTAAAATTTAGAGCTACTGTATTCTTGTTTTTTTTTTTTTTTTGTAAAAAAGTGGTTTTGCAATATTACAATTTTTTTGTGGTGTTATTTAGGTAGAATCCACGCAATGGAGATAACGATAATATTCAAAATCTGATAAAAAATTTCTAACACGTGATAGTTTCACGACATGCATATAGCCAATTAAATTGAACAAATGCACAGTAATTGCGAATACCAAAAGAAAAAAAAAGGCAAACCATTATTGCAAATATAAAAGGTGTAAAGTAATAGGTTTACCTTAATTTGCAAGATGGTACAGTCCTTACCGAGGGAATGTCTCGAAGAAATATTTCATCTACTTCAAAATGACAAAGCTTCTTTACACGCTTGTCTTTTGGTCAACCGATTTTGGTGTTCAAGCGTAGCTCCTTTCCTATGGAGGCATCCTTTTAAACTTGCCAAAAAACCTTGTCCGGAACTTATAGAAATATATACCTCTTTATTTGATAAACGAGTTAAATGTGAACTCAAAGTTGAAGGGATCAATATACCAATTTTAACTGGACCAAAAGTATTTGATTATCCAAGTTTCCTACGTGGTTTTCGTTTTGACGATCTATATGAGTCAACTTCAGCTTGGTTACAAGACGGTTATGATAAAGGGCGACAAATTAAACGAGAATCCGAGGTTTTTGACGATCTTCGTGTTATTAAAATATTGGTAAACGAACTTTGTAAATTATTTTTTAGTAAAACACGGGTTATCGAATCTCTTTCACTCAACACTCAACGTCTCGTTGGTTTGATTGATCGTCGGTTTTGGTCACATCATCCTGGTGATATACAATATACACCTACTAGCTTTGAGGATTTTCGTGGTGCCTATGGGTTTGATGATCTTCTAAAATTACCTTCATATTTTGGTGCAAGCACTTGTTTACCTTTCTTGCAAAAGTTTGAGTATGGAGGTGATGCAACTGATGGAAAAATTATGGAAGTTTTATCAATGATTTGCAAGAATCTTGATACTCTTGAAATAAGTTTTTCTTCATGGCAAAGGAAACATGCTGACCCAATGATGATGTTAAGTCTTTTACAGGCTCAACATTCATTGAAACGTGTGGTTCTTCGACGTGGTGGATCAAATTGTCTTCCTGTGCTAATAGAAGGCTTGAAAAGTCAAGCAAATTCGTTAAATTATTTAGAGTTTAACGGAGCTGATTTTCGAATTTCTGTTTCACTTGAAGCTTTATCATATTGCGTTAATTTGGAAACATTAATATTCGATAGGTGTCTTGGATTGTCTGATGATATCGTAGAGCCTTTATCAACTGCAACATTTAGTCGACTAAAGAAATTTGTGTTTAGGAAGAGTATTGGATTTCGAGATTTACGTACTATTCTTGCTCCTGCGATTCAGAATATTCCACCTAATGCACCTTTTCCTGTCATGCCAGTGCCTTCAATTTCATCAATACACCCAAAAAGAACATCATCACTTAATCATCCACTTGCACTTATGATCCAAAACACTGACGGAAATTTGCAAGATATTCGATTAGGCAAAAAAGTTTGGAATGTTAGACGACCGTTAGGAATAGTTGCAAGAGGTGTAGGTGATTTTCCACCACCATCAGTTCTTTCAACGATTTCAATGTATTGTCCTAAATTAGTAGTAATTGAGACACATGTAAGCAGAGAAACGCTCCCATATTTTCAAGCAGTTCTTGAGACATGTATACATATAGAACAAATGCATATATCGATCGGAACCGAATTAATGGATGATGAAGTATTTTGGAAAGATATGTCATTAAGATTACCTGTTAAATTAAGAAATCTAATGATCGTTATTGAAGGAACATTTTGGTTGATGGTGTTGCATTGGCTACTGGGAAATTGTAAAGCACCTTTAGAGTTATTACAATTTCCTAGAAGTAATTGTATTGATGATGAATATCTGTGTATCATTACACAATATGCAAAGAGGATCGGAACGCTGAAACGACTGGCACTGGCAAAACGTACAAAAGTTACTTCTGAAGGGATGAGAAGAGCATTGATGGTTTTAGAAAGTGTTACTAAAACCGGCGAGTGGGTTGGTAATGATGACAACTTGAGATAACGAAGAGGAGGTATGTGTCAAATATTTTAGTCTTTAAAAATGTATCCAGTATTAGTTGTTATTTTATTTTTTTTTATTTTACTAACTAAATATTAATAATTTCTCTTAATCATTATAATTCGACGTAGCCACCCTTTTTCCATTTTGAAAGTTTTATTATCTTATGCAGTTTATTCAACTATTATCTTTCGTTGAATATTCAAGAGAGAAGACTTAAACATAATACGACGAAGATTAGTCGATTAGTCATGATAGGCTGTAGGATGTGCTTTGGTTATATATTTGATTTCATGTGTTGTCAAATATTTTTGAACAAGGCAGAAATTTGCTAACTGGAGATTTTTACGGGATTGCAACAAAATCAAAAATTTCTTTATTTATCCTAAAAATTATTCTTAAAAATTAGTATATATTTGTGTATAAATAAAGTATTCTACATGTAGATTGAAATATTTGTAATATAGGTATTTCCTTAATGATCATTTTTTCTGCGTCTTAAGTAAATGAATGAGAATCATAATTTGTATACTAATTGGCATTATTTGCATCTTTAAGCGATTTTGCAATTCAAAATAAATGTAAAATAATAGATTTTTTATGTTTTATATTAATAAAATAAAAAAAAATAGACTTCTAAAATCTTGAGGTTAACCATTTTTACTATAAATTTGAGTGATCGACATTCATAATTTTCATTTTCAATCGTCGTTTTCAGGGGTTTCCTAAAAGGAAAGTGTTCTGGACAACGTGGCAAAATAATTTAAAATAAAAAATAAACTCGAAAAGATTTCATAATGTATAGTGTTGAGTACGGTAATAGTCAAAATCTACCACAAAGAACAAAGTTACTAGTAAACCTCTGCACTGAGATTTAAAACCACTAACCTATAAACTTACAAAATCGTTAACTAATTTTTAGGTTATGATTGGAAGGTAGAAAAGCAATTAGCCGATGCACTTTGCAAGAACACCTCCTTAGATTCTTTGAATAATAAACGTGGTTCAGAGATGACAAAAGCATTAATCGACGACCTTGCAAAGCACTACGTTGACTTCTGGAACTTAGTTGAAATAATAATAAATTTGGTTGCGAAGGACAAAAAGTATTAGTTGATGTACATTGCAAGAACATTACGTTTACTTCTTGGAATAATAAACTTGGATCAGAAGAATGAAAAGCATTATTGCGTATGCACTTTGTAAGAACACCATGTTGACTTTCTGGATCTTGGTTGGAATAATAATAAATTTGGACCAGAAGTTCGAAAAACATTAGCCAATACTTGCATTGACTTCTCTGGATCTTGGTTGGAACAATAAACTTGGATCAGAAGAACGAAAAGCATTAGCCGACGCACTTTGCAAGAATACCACGTTGACTTCTCTTGATCACAGTTAAAATAATAAAGTTGGATCAGAAGAACGAAAATCATTATTCGCTGCATTTTACAAGAACACCACGTTGACTTCTCTGGAACTTAGTTCTGTAGTTGGAATAATATACTTGGATCATAAAGACGAAAAGCATTAGCAATGCATTTTCAAGAACACGTTGATTCTTAAGAATAATCTTGAATTAGAAATGATTTATAGTTTTATAGATTTAATTATAACAATTATGTTTATTTTTCAGGTTACTTCATATCAATAAAAAAATTGTAATTGAATATAGTTAAGTAAATAAAATCTATTAAACGTTTTGTTAAAATTATAATAGTATAAACTTATTAATTTATTAATCTACCTTGGGTGTATTAATTAAAATTATCAGGAAGGTAATATTGCTTATGTAAAATATTTCATCCCTGTATTTGACATTTTTTTATATAAAATATGGATAAATTCATGGAGAGATAAATTTTCTTTTCACATGATGAAAAAATTTCAAGAAAAATTCTTGATTATATGCAGTTTAGTATCGATATCAATATATCATATAGCAAAATACGTATATAGTAAAAGTAGACTGATTATATATAAAATAAAAATAAATTACAGATAATTATATTCTAAATATATTTTTTTTCCGTTTCTATATCTGATATGGAGGAGGGTTTGTATTATTCAACTCCTTAGATCTTTTTTTAATATGATGTTAAGGGTTGTTGGTAATACTTTGTATGTTTACAATTATTCTATTCTATAAATCTAGATATAAATATTTATAAAAAATAAATACAATAAGGGATGCATGCACAAATTCCCTATTTTATTACATCAAAAGATTTGATATCTTTCGCATTAATCAATGTATTTCTATATACTCACCTGCAATGTCAGCACTAAATTTAATATAATTTTTATTAAGCGAGCCTCATTTGCAAATTTTAAAAAGCTCTTCAGTCCTATCTACACAGAATTGCGCTAATTTGTTATAATTATACCTAATTTTTTGTCCATTTTCCACTCACAAAGTACATAATTTCTTTACATAACTTTTTATATTTTTTGTAAAAAAGCATATTTGCTTCATAGTATTCGGATATGTTTTGGATTTTACAAAATTTACAAAAAATTAAATGAAAATTTCGACGATCAATTTTCCGGACGTGAACGTGACGCGGTTTCCCCGAGGGGTAAACACCGCTTTGATTGATATGTGTTACAGTAAATTTTGATAAGTAATCATTTTCGCGTGTTGGGAATATTCAATGACCTCATTAGTAATAATATTTTATTACCGTTACTTCATTTTATCTTCATGATTAATTGTACAGTATCTAAATCGATAAATGCTAAATATAATCCTTGATTATATAATGGGAGGAATAGTAGTAGAAGATGGAAAGAAAGACAAAATGTAGAGTTACGGATTAAAGGAATAATTCATATAAGCCGATTATCTTTAATGATATTACTTTCCTTAATGACCGACTATCATTAAACCCGAATCCCCTAATAAACACACATCCTGCATAACTTATGCTACGCCTGAAGCTAATCTGCACATGCTCATTTGTCGCTCTCCCAATTCTGGGCGTAATAATATGTTTATAGTAACTAGAGGTGCAGATACCTAGAAATTTGGAGGTAGCTACCCCAGCAAAAATATCACGGCGATACGGCTGTATAAATGCTGTATGCCGTCATTCACCTTAATTTAATGGGCGAGTTATCGATGGATTAAAAATGTGGTTCATGTTTACAAACATTTATTTACTACTAACTAATGCCTTTCAAATTATATACCATTATATTCGGTCAGTGCGTATTACGTACAACAAATTTTTAATGATATAAAATATATATATATATATATATGACGATTATTAAAATGGTAACCTAAATACACATTGTAATAAAGATAACACGTTTAAAGCATGGTGTTGGACATGTGATCCCGACAAGCAAAAATGAGAATATTAATGATTGCATCAGAGAGAGTTTTAGTTTAGAACCATGGGAATGTAATTGAACGAATTTCATTCAATAAATTACTGTATAAGCGCGAAATGATGCTCGTGGGTGTTATTTTGAAAATCGGATCGGATCCTTCAGACATTAGCGTTCATGGGCGTCCCGAACTAACGCGCATTCTAACGTAGCACATAATTTATTGTTGCGATAAATGATATACAATCGACACTTCACATGTGCACTCTCTACGTATAAGTGCAATTTCTTTATAATTATAAGTGCACATAATTTGATCTGTCTAATGTAATTATTTAATATTATCGTTATATGAATATTATGCTCCACAAATGAATATTTTATAAATGCACTTTTACCCAAAAACGTGCAGTTATGGAAGGTTGACTGTATTGGATTTAGAAAATCAATTAAGGTGGGCGTTATTTCGCGCTTATATGGTATCTAATGTTAAAGAAGTTGGCAAAGAGGATCTGGTTATGTATATTCAGCAACTGGTTGGATGGTATATAAAAATTGCTTATAACTGTTTAATAAAGCGCGTGAATCATCTCGTACAAAACACTTGTTTTTTGTTTACTAGAAATTTTTCAGGGTAGTAACGCTATACGGCATACATATCTCACGGCAACTATCTCACGACAATATAATCTCGGGTTGTACGACCTCTACGTCATAGCCGCAATACTGTAAGTAATCACTACTCAGAGAAATGCCTGCATCATTAATCCCAACATTTTCCCATCAATTTCCGTTAACTGGCGGTCGAAAACGCAAGTATTTTCATTGCTTGACTCAAAATATCATTCAATACAGATTTAGCATGGGGATGCATCGCTAACTTCGAAGGTCCATATATTTACGTAGCATTACATAAATGACGATAATATGGGCTGCCGTCAATAGAAATAAGGCAAATTGACATTTTAAAAAAAATTAATCCCTTAACTTTCACAGCTCATATCTCGATGAATTTCAAGGCTATCTTAATGATTTATTATTCAAAAGAAAGCATACGATCTAAGCTTTCTTTCGAATATTAAATTATCAAAATAGCCTCAAATTTTATCGAGAGATGAGCTGTGAAAGTTAAGGTATTAATTTTTTTTAAAATATCAATTTGCCTTATTTCTATTGACGGCAGCCCATATTATGTAATTGTTTGATATAAATTTATGTAAGCATAAAGTCACTTAACAATTTATATAAATTTATCTGTTATGCTTCTTCTTGTGTCGTGTTACTGAAGGTCCGTAGAATTCGTAAGATATTATGTTTAGTCACATAAGATTATGTAGCATTTTACCTAGTAATATAAAAAAATTCGTGATGTAAGCTACGAGCTGACTTATGTGCCAGAATTAGGGGTTAGAGTAGGTGTTTTTCTACTAATTCAGCTATGTTAGTAATTTTTATATAAAAGATAATTTAATTTACCAACTTTTTGTCTATCCGCCCATGTGACCAAATGACATTTCTGATGTGATTTTTATGTTGTTTATGTAGATGCATCAAAAAGTAACTATGATGCATCAAAAACGTAACTTTTATATCACTTTGCATAGAAACTAAGGGTCCATCGCTACGCTCTGGACAATAACTTTATCATTATAATTTCGACATATTCAACTTTATTAACCTTCGTTCGAATATGTATAGTGTTTAGTTTGTGCGGAAAAAGGCAGTTCTTATCAGCCAATAAATCTTGACAAGAAATATAAAAAAAGCTCCGGGATATAAAGTAAACTTTTATAATAAACTTATATTAAAAAGTTAGATATAATCAAGAACTTGCCGACATATTTTATATCGTTCATGTTTAGTAAACGTGGTTTTTCCTAAAAGTGTTTAAGTTCGTAATTTCGGCATGATCCATAATAAAACTACTTTTATACCATAATGGTTGTTTACAGACCGTTGTAACAATGTCTACATTATTAAATTTTCGATCGAATGTTTATCCAGCATGTTTAGTGTATCAATAAGTCTTAACAAGAAATATATAAAAAAAAAAAGCACTATATATCAATTAGAATTTTATAAAAAAACATACAGTATTGCACGAAGTACATGTTAAAAGATCTTGTATATAAATAAAATATTGCTTTTATTTGTATATACAAGTTGGTTCATAGCCCTTAGATTGTAATTCATATTCAGTGAACGTGGTTCTGAAAGTGACGGAAGCTTTTCAATACATCCATATTTTTGAAAGTGCCTGAAGAACCCGACTTATAAAAAATATGCTACCACCTAAATGTTTGGCAATTTTTCGGAATGATGTAAGCCTTCTAAATTTTTTTTTTCAAATATTTTCCAGCGAAGATGCTTTGAAAGTATATTCAAAAATATTTAATTACTTGATCTTTAAATTATATATATATATATATATAAATTTTATTGAAAAATTATGCTGAAATTACAAACTTAATCGAATCGGTTGAAAAATCATTCGGCAAATTTTTATCAAATTATACCGTATTTTCGCGAAATAACGCGCAGGGGTGTAATTTCGAAATTTTGCCAGAATTAAGCTTAATTCAGACCAAAATTCCAAATAACGTCCTGCGCGTTATTTCGCGAAATACGGTATATTTGAAAGTGCTGGAAAACCCGATTTAGAGAAGATGTCCTAACACCTAAGTGTTTGGCAATTTCTCGAAATGATAAGCCTTCTAAAAGTTTTTCAATTATTTGCCAGAAGATGCTTTGAAAGTATCACCATATTTCAACTAGAGATATTCTTTAAATATTTATATTAATCACCTGATCTTAAATTATGTTATGTCGAAATTACAAACTTAATCGAATCGGTCGAAAAAATCATTCGGCTAATTTTTATTAGGTGTTCCAAGAATTATGAAAACAGCTGTGGTCTTTGACCAGGATGGACTTAATAGCCCAATCACGTGCGACCTAATTAATGTTTGATTTTATTATATATTTTTATTACAATTGCAATAATATATATATACATTTCAATTAATAATCGGCAGAATTAAAAAACGACGCATTTAACATATCGATAACAAAAATACGTATATTATATAATTCAATTGAGTGAATTTTTAATTATATTTGCCATTTATTTATTTTAATTTTTTTTTGTTTTTTTTTTAAAAAAAAAAAAGAGAGTTACATAATAAAATATTTAACATCATACGATATCGTGAATAAAATAACAAAAAAATTTTTATATATTGAATACAATATTTGTAATTTCAGATTGGTTATTCGCGATATCGATAGAGTTTGATCATAATCTAAGTGGTGGTAATAATCAAAGAACCAATTTTTTATACCCTAAACAAATCACAGTTAAAGAATTATAGTAAAATACTAGAAACTAGCATTCATAAAGAAAATAAATTTACAGTAATTAAAAGAAAAGTATATACTATATACTTTGTCTAAATTGATAATAAATACAATGTATAAAAATGTTTACAAAATCAACACAGCCAAATAAACAATTATAAATTATCTAAACAAACTGTTTAGAAGTAACCAGCTGTTCTATAACCTCTTGATTGTTGATTTGGTTGATTAGCATTCCGATCACGAAATGAAGGATTAGGGCTAACACTTCTTGCTCTATTATGTTCAGCGGGATTTACACGTAATAGTTTCTGTGACTTTTTGGAAGACAATTTAGCGACATCATCAGAAGGTGGTTGTAATCTTGGAGGTAATTGATTTCCTCGTTGATGATACATATTGGCCCTATCATTAGGCTTATCATTAAGCCCTTCAACAATTCTATCACCAAATACATCATTATACCTTTCATTATTAAACCTATCACTATGCATTCCTGAACTATTATTATTTGGATGCCTATTATTATTATAAAATCGTGAATCATAATTGTTTGGAGGTCTATTATTATGCATTCTCGGGTCATAATTATTTGGAACAGGTGGAGGGACAAAGTTTCTTTGATCATCAATTCTATTTGATAGATTATTAGCACTACGACTTCTACTCATGGAACGTGCTGATGGTGCAGGTGGATTTTGTTTTAATAAATTATCATCCTCATCATAAATTCTTGGTTTTCTACCCTTATTATTATTATTATCCTCATCATAAATTCTTGGTTTTCTACCCTTATTATTATTATTATCATTTGGGTGAAAAGAGGTTGAATTATTTGGTAAAGAATTTTTATAACCTTCAGCAGGAATTTTATTAGGAGGAGGAATTTTATTTATTTGAGAGGAAATAGAATTTTTTGTAGAATTATTCTGTGAAGGAATAGGTTTATGATCATATAACCATTCTGGAATATCACCAGACTTTTGTTGATGATATTCACGTAATATACGAGAAATATGAGTTTCACCTTCCCAATCTTCTTTTTCTGAATCTAATTTATTTGAGTTTTTTAAAAAAGATGAGTAAAGAATTTTCATGGCATATAGGCAAAAGAAAATGCATACCATTATCAGAATTATCATCAATAACACTATAAGCTGATGATGCTGCACTTAACAATTTATCCCATAGTTTTGCACTTGTAGTAGTAGATTGCGATACGTTCGGTTTGACAGAATCGTCTAAAAAAAAAAACAGTTATTTAGTAAGAAATGAATAAAATAAGAAATAAGTCAATTAAGGTAATTAAAATTAAAATGAGAATCTTACCTTCAGCCATTTCTCTCCAGTTATTTACAGTCTTAAGTTTGCTCCACAAACTAGTGGCCGAAGACTGTTCAGAAGTATTATTATCATTACTCTGCTTATTGGTGTTGGATTTGTTAGACGAAAGATGTTGCTTGGGCATAGAAGGGAGTGGAGGAGCATTTGCATCGGACATTTTACATTTGTGACGAGCAGGGTAGAGACCAACATCATGACCACAGTCCTTACAAAGGACTACAAGTCGAGAAACTCGATAGTCTACAACTTCAGCTACCATTTGCTTTTCTAATGCAGATTATAAAAAAAGTTGTGAAGTTGGTTTTATAATAGGTGCTTTGATTAACCGAAGCAAAATATTTTAATGCGAAAAGAGAGGATTAAGTATTGAAACATAGAAAGCGGTCTTTGTTAAGAATGAAACATCGAAAACTATTATATAAATAAAACAATTACCCTTGAGATCTTTATTAATTAACATGTAACATCGAAGTTACAATTTTCATAATTTCTAGTTCAAATCTGGCAATGATTACAAACAAAATAATTATTGTGTGAAAATATACAGTATGATATTGTTTTATATTATATAATATATATATATATATTATACTGTATAAAAATATATACTTGTATAATATATATTAGATTAAATTAGAGCGAGGCACAGTCGAAATGCGCTTCAACTGCATTCTCTCTGTAAGTAGAGAAAATGCGCATCATTTGAGCAATTTATGTAACACTATATGTATCTCAGTCTCAATAAATACACAATCTGCAAAATGCATTTTTTCCCTGATAACGTGCACTTCGAATTAAGAGTGCAGCTAATTTTGGCTTTACTAAAAAAAGTCTAGAAGATCTTTGTAACTGATTTAAAAACTGGTTTAAATGACTTGATTTTGGTTTTTTCTTATTGCATTTCGGTTTTTAGATTTTTATAGAAGAGTTTAATTCTATATAAAGCAACCAAATCTGGATATTTTTTTAACACTATTATAGTAAAATTTTATTATTTAAGTTCTGACAAAGAAAAAGCCTGTAAATCCGTTTTTCGATTCCCTGAGTATACCGATATACGTATTAAAATTGAAGGTCACATGGTTCTACGTAATCGGGCGATTTAATCTGCAATGACGTATGGTATTATCAAAAACGATAGTCATCACATGCCTTCAATTACGTAGTTTTTTCACGGTTTTCCTTTGGACAGCATTCATTTAAAAAATACTTGTCGTTATATTACCTATAGTTACTTTTAATGACGATTCAGCACATGACTAGGTTTGTTCGTCTCGGTCTGTAATTTTGATGTTATATAATATACTCAGCGTAACGGTAAGTCAAAAATCTTACCCATGTATAGCAATTTGAAAGAAATCTTATTAGTAAAATTTTATTGTCCATTAACGAAAACTGATGAAACCAATATGCTTTTATTATTTACACTATAAAAATTTAAACCTATAAAGTGTATAGATATAATTTGATACACAAACATAATTACAGAATTAGACTTAATTGGAAATATTGTAATATAACGATAAACATGAAATGTTCGTGTAACCTCACCACGAGATGTTTACTAAATTCCGATCGGAAAATTTTGACAGCTTTTAGCGTTAGCATTAGTTTGTTGCTGATTGGTTGATCATCCGAGACAACTAATACACTTCCACGATTATTGGTTATTATTCTAGGTTTGTGTACAGTATATTTAACATATTTGAATCTGTATTGAAACTATGTAAAGTGAGGTTGACAAGGGGTGTTTTTCGGTCTTCACCGGTAGGATTTTTGGACAGAGACTGACTGATCCGAAAAAATGATTAAATATGATTAAGTCACGTGATTTTACCCAATACAGTAATTCGAAAAATTCGGAATTTTGGCCTTATCTTGGAATTTTGGGGCGATCGAAAACTCATTTTAATGTAAAGAACGCTTCTTCTTTCATAGTACAGTATCTCTGTAATTAGTACCCAGGTACTACAATCAATAACGTTCGAAAACGCATCAGGAAATTCTGGGTAAGCACGTACGTACATAAAAAGAGTAGTCTGATAACGTACCTATGTACAGGACTATATTGGTCACTAATGTGTGATGCCAAAACAGCTTCAGTCAGGCTTTTTTCAGCCCCTGAAGGATATATGAAACATCATTAACTTTAATAATAAATTTTTTATTATTCATAATATACTAAGTTATAAACTAAAAAAAAAACCAAGAATCTGGCTGTTCTTTGGCGTAACTCTCATTAGGATAAGTTAGGTAATCAATTTAGCCCAATCAGCCGCCTAATCGAAACTTTCTTGGAAACTAACATAAACATCTAACTTTGCCTGCAGATATCTGCAACTTCGTAGCCCTTATTCTCTTAATCCCGATATTATCTATAATGCATCCATAATTTAAAAGGAAAACTAATTGTACAAAACTAGGTCATTTATTTAATATACTGTCACAGATACGTATCAATCGTGATGAGGTGCCATTGGTGTCACGTGGGAAACTGGTTAGTTAATTAAGATAATCAAATGTCGCTAATAAATTAGATATTAAATTAACCAACAAAGATTAACGAAAATGTGCTAGGAAGGCAGGTACTGTTAGATGTTTGGAGCTAATTATAATAGTGGTTAGCTAAAAATTGAAACTGATGCTATCTATCTAAAAATAGGTGCGGGCATAAATACACACAAAATCGGTCTCCTCCAGAATACTAACAAGATTAATCTTGAATAGCCCCAAACCCTCTTCCCATTTTCCTTGAATGAGCATTCTTTCTATTATGCTTTTTTTGGTGTTTTCCTCTGCCTCGACCGCGTGCCGTAGGTGCTGTTGTCTCCGTAGCTGTATGCCTTGTTTGCGATGATTCTCCATTATAATTATCCCTATTATTCTTATCTCGTACATAGGACTCTCCTCGTCCAGGACGTGACAATGAATCTCCAGATGAATTAGTTTCTTTTTCTGATGCAGAAGATGATGCTTCTTCACGGTTACCTTTGAATTCATATTTCTCAAGAATTTTATCTTTCCTTGGCTAAAACGGTTGTAAATCATCGTCAATTGCAAATAAAATATTATTTTAAACAACAAAATATATAAAAATTTTTTATAATTACGTTTCTTTGAAACATGATGTACCATCCTTCAAGTTGTTCATCAGTCATTTGTGTGATATTCCTCAGTCTAGCTCGTTTATCTGATTTCCTTACTGCATTAGTTCTCTCAAAAACGGATTGATCTGATTGGAATGCCTTAATAAGTTCACTTTCATATGCAATACCAGGATCAACCTATGATAATCTAATCTTAGAATTTCATTAAAGCATAAAAAACCTAGAGATATGCCCCACTCGAGATAAACCTAGAATAAATTTCACATTTCACATATCACGCAACTTGCTCGCACAAGATATTCATATAGATCACCCAATAGTTTTTAGTGATTATATTGATTGCGAAATGAAATAAATGAAAAAATGACGCAATCATCTAGCGAAAGGTACATCTCTAGTAAACAATAACTTATGAATTGATTCCTGCCATTTACCTTTCCTCTTGATGTATTCCTAATTTCTGCCTCTTCATCAATTTCATCGATCATACGAAGGTCGATGCCTCCCATTTTCAGACCACTAGTGTCATAAGTATCGTCATATTCATCTTCGTACATCAAACCACTAGCATCATCAGCCTCATCTTCATACATCATTTCATTAGCAACATTTATAATTGATTCCTTTTGATTTTTCACAAATGACTTGTCACTCAATAACGAGTCTGCAGTACCACGACTTTAAAAAAGATAAATTAATTAGAAATGAGCTCAAATTTCAAAGTAAAAAATATATATATTCAAATCCCTACTTCTTCTTTCCTTTATTGACACGTGTAAAGTCAATGTTTTTACCAGAAAATACGTCAAATTCATCATTGTCAAAAATATTTCGACGTTGAGCTAAAAGGCTTTCTTCTACTACACGTTAAAAAGAGTTTGTAATTCACGTTGCAAAAGGCATAACCTTAGTAGAACGTATAAAATCGAACCTTTTGGACCGTTCACGCTATCATTGGCAACTGATACAGCAAGACTAAAAATCATAATACATGAAAAACATGTTATAGTATTGATGTTTAAGTTCATTAAAGTATTAACATACCGAGCCATTGAACGATCCAATTCTTTTAAATGATCCGGTAAAGAATCTTCCAATAACCGATTAATAACTGTCTCTATATTGTTATCAAAAGCTATCAAACATTCTTCTATGAACCCTTCACCTAGATCAGGGAAAAGGTCCTGAACCTGTGAGATAAGGGATATACGTTGCACATCACTGTCCTCGATCGTATCAGCTTTATCAGACTAATAATGAAAAATCGATCGTATATAAGGTATTGCTTATTGTTAACGAAACCAGACGTATTGAATTATTAATTTAACCTGCTGAGTTATTAAAGGATTATAATTAATATTATTAGTCAAACTCGCTAAGTGTCTTCTCTGTTTCTCTTCTAATCGAATTTGCCAAGGTAATTTATCGCTCTCTTGATTCATGTTACGCAACAATTCCAAAGACCAAATAATATAATCCACCCTAGCGTCATCAGTGTGAAAATTAAGGAAAATTATAAATATAAATTGTTACAAAAATAGAGCGCAGTAATAAATGCAGTAATAAAGTGCAATAATAAAATGTTAAAAAGGATATCCATTGAGGACTTCATTTTTTATTCTTGTTAATTTTCCACTCAAATCAAATTCAATCTCCACGTCTAAAAGTAATGGTGCATCTACAAAAGATTCAACCGGCTTGTCCAATTGCGAAGATTCAATGAACGAGAGAAGTACATCACCCATCGTTTCAATCTTTAATTTTATTTCCTCTACGTTTTCTAATTTGTCATCCGATTTGACAAATGAAAATATATCACCTTCATTGACTGTAAATCCTACTGGACTAAAATAACATGCATTCAAAGTATGGTATGCAAGTGACACTAACGCATGTTTCAAAATAATTAAATCTCTAGAAATATTCAAGGATTCATCATCAGATTCGAATATTTTCGAAATTATTGGTATAGTATTATCATAGAAATTCTTTATAGTCATTAAGAAATCAATATTATCCTCAAAATCTTGTCTATCGTTGAATATGTTGGCCACGGGTTTTGAAACTATGAACAGACAATCCAATGTGACTGAGATATCCAACACGTATTCTAAATAATTAAGTGCATTTGCAAGCTTTTTTTTATCATAAATAACATTTTTACTCGTTTTTTCATTATCTGCTATTTCCTGAAATTTTTCATCTATGACTTTTATATAATTAACAATCGTACTGGAATGTGTTTCGAAATCTTGAATTATTATTGTTACAGATTTAATTATATTATCAATGAATTTTTCTATCTGTTTAATATTTGATCTACCGTACATCGCTACTACATCAAGTAGAAACGGTACCGATATCAACTTATCCTGATATAAAGCCTCCCCCAATGTAATTTCATTTTTCACTTTAATTGAAGAAATTGATGGTTCAGAAAGTCGTAATAATATTGCCAATACTTTTTTATCTAAATCAACTTCTATTGGTTGTCTAATTTGAATATCATCAAATTTACGAATTTTTGCTCGAATTCCTAAGAATGATTCTAAAAATTTTCGAAGTGATTCATTATAAAATAAATAATTTGCAAAATCTTCATTCTTTGACTTTAAAATTAATGAAAGACTTGATATCCAAATATTAAGCGCAGTAGTCCATTGTGAATCTGTTACGTTCTGTGAATCATTTTTATCTATATAAGGAGGCACTAACAGATTTTTAACTTTCTGCGTCGCCATTATAGAAATTCCTTGAACAGAATTACGATGCTATTTATACTTATTTTTAAGGTATTACAACTGATTTACGTTTTTTTTAGGTTTACCGCAGTAAATCACCGCAGTACTGCGTTAACCTACGTAGCTGCCGCACAAAAAATGCGCGGCAATTTGGTCTGCATTACACAACTGTTTTCATTATTTTTGGAGATTTTTGACAATGCTATAGAACAGAATCAAACTATACTGGAAAATTGGCAGAATTAGACAACAAAAAATTTTTTTGACAGCCAAATCGAAGTTACTGAGTCGGAATCAATGAGTTACTGACGTCAACCGAAAACAACAGTAAATTAATTTAGGCCGATGATCTTCAAGATTCTTAATTTTGGCCGTAAATTGGTTTTTTTTTAGCTGCAAAAAGTAATTGGCACTTGAATATTTTTCACAGTTTCATTAGTAGAATTTTCCGTAATTTTGGCCTAATTCTTTTTTTGCCGCGCATTTTTTGTGTGGCATCTAGGATAAATGCGTTAGTCACAAAATTTTTGTTATAATTAATGGTTAACACTATAATGAACTGTTAGTTAAAAAAGAAGTTTGCTATATAAAAATTATTCTGTTTTTTTTAAGAAGCCATAATTCTTTTATACAGAACTAAATATAAATTTAAAAATTTTTTAGTTTGTTATTTTCAGAGTTCGTTATAGAGAGATTATAAAGAGAGTTGACCGTATCACAAAATTTCGGGTTAGAGTATACCAAAGCTGGGCTGACATTATGCGGGACTTTCAATTATATTTTGTGTACAGTTAGCTGTCTATAGAAAATTTATCATCATAATAGATTCTCCATAGACGGTTAATTGTATACAATTGAAAGTAGAGTTCTTACCCGGGTTGGGTGACCCGTACGGGTCACCCGACCCGACGGGTCACGGGTCGAAAATTGCTTTGACCCGGGTTAAACGGGTCAGAATTCAAAATAGGCAAAAACCTACTAAAATGCAATTTTCTTATAAATATCGTAATAATCGTGTCAATCTACTATAAAATATAATTTATTTCTTTTATTTATCGCATCAAATAGAACACGGATATCAATATCATCCCAGAAATGCTATTACATTTTATTTCTACGATAAGTATTTTTTTTTTCTTTAAAAAATAGTATGTGCGCACACAATGTTCAATGTTCAAGTGCACACAATGTTCAATAAATTACATACGCGATTCTAATACTTATTTTAAATCTTCAGGTGGTTTCTTATATCTGTC